GTATTAAAATTACTATAGTCATACCAGTGACATATGTCACAATGCAATTAATTATATAACTGAATTGCATCTAACATGACTTTTCAATTTTTGGAGGCTGAAATAATGAACAAAAAAACCTTATATGTCTGTTTTCATTAAAGAAAAAAAAATCAATCCGGGGCACCTGGGTGGCTCAGTCAGTTGCAGTTCCACCTTAGGCTCAGGTCATGATTCCGTGGTTTGGGTTCAAGTTCGAGGCCACATTGGGCTCTCTTCTGTTAGCACAGAGCTCACTTTGGATCTTCTGTCCCCCTCTCTCTGCCCCTCCACCACTTGTGCCCACACACACTCTCTCTACAAATGTTGAAAACATATTTTTATTTTTATTTTATTTTTATTTTTTATTTTTTATGTTTTTTATTTATTTCTAGGAGAGAGAGAGAGACAGTGTGAGCAGCGAAGGGTCAGAGAGAGAGGGAGTCACAGACTGAAACAGGCTCCAGGCTCTGAGCTGGCAGTCAGCACAGAGCCCGACGCGGGGCTCGAACCCACAAACCGCGAGATCATGACCTAAGCGAAAGTCGGACGCTTAACCGACTAAGCCACCCAGGCGCCCCTATTTTTTACTTTTTTAAATGTTTTATTTACTTTTGAGATAGAGACAGCATGAGCAGGGGAGGGTCAAAGAGAGAGGGAGACACAGAATCTGAAACAGGCTCCAGGCTCTGAGCTATTCCTCAGCACAGAGCCCGATGCGGGGCTTGAACCCACGAACCGTGAGATCATGACCTGAGCTGAAGTAGGATGCTTAACCGACTGAGCCACCCAAGTGCCTCGAAAACACATTTTTAAAAAATCAGTATAATTCTAAAGTTATAGAGCTGTCCAAACAGGAACTCTGAGCTTTGGAGCACCTGGGTAGCTCAGTCAGTTAAGCCTCCAACCCTTGATCTCAGTTCAGGTCATGATCTCATGTTTTGTGGGATCAAACCCTGTGTTGGGCCCTGGGCTGACAGTGCAGAGCCTGACTGGGATTTTCTCTCTCTCTCTCTCTCTCTCTCAAAAATAAATATAAAGACAAGAGAGAGAAAAGAAGAGGAGCGTCTGGGTGGCTCTGTTGGTTAAACATCCAACTTGGGCTCAGGTCATGATCTCACAGCTTGTAAGTTCGAGCCCTTTCTTGGGCTCTGTGCTGACAGCGCAGAGCCTGAAGCCTGCTTCAGATTCTGTCTCTGTCTCCCTCTGCCCCTCCCCCACTCACATATTTTCTCTTTCTCTAATATAAACATTTAAAAATTTTTTAAAAGAAATATTATGTAGCTGTAGGAATAAAAAACCAAAAGAAAAAAATGATCTACATATATTAATATGCAAAGACCTCCAGGACATTTTCTAAGTACAAAAAAAACAGGAACATAGGTAGTATGCTCCCTTTTATAAGAAGAGGACTATATAACTGTTTTCACTGAAATGTGCATAGGGAAACCCCGAAAGATATTCAAGTATTCCAAATGGTTACCTATAGGGAGTGGATGGGAAATGAGATAGAGTAAAACAGCTCCACGTGTGTATGTATAGGTGTATGTGGTTTTGATTTGTGAACCATATAAGTGTAATTGCTCGTCAAATAAAACATTTTAAAAATAATATTACTTTAGGATCACTTTAAGGATTAAATGAGTTTGTAAATGTACCTAACATAAAATGTCTAGCTTAGTGCTTTACACACAGTGGATGCAGCTATGTCCATCTGGAAGTCTTTATTTTTTAAAGCTTATTTATATATTTTGGGGTGGGGGGTGAAGGGTAGAGAGAGAAGGTCCCAGGCAGGCTCTGTGCTGTCAGTGCAGAGCCCAATGTAGGGCCTTAACTCATGAATTGTGAGATCATGACTTGAGCCAAAATCAAGAGTTGGCACTTAACTGAGTCACACAATCACTCTTGGAAATCTTTTCAAATGTCCTCAAAATGGTATAACATAAATAAATAAAAGAATACCAAACATTTGGACTCAATAATCTCACCTATAGGAATCTACCTTAATGAAATCTAAAAATTGGACAAAGATTCATAGCTGTTGAAACAAACCGAAAACACAAAAACAGAAATGTTCAATATAGTACATGTATTTTCAGAAAGCATTTCAAATGACAGAAAATGCTCAAATATGGAACTTTATAATCTCAAATGGTGGAGAGGAATAGGGCAGTGGGGATGGGGAGTGGGGTGTGGAGAGCAGAGATATATACAAAAATAAAAGGCCTAGAAAAAGCATAGCAAGTAAGCTTTTATAGACGAACTGTTGGTAATTTTTATTTTCTCTTTCATTCTTTTCCATATTTGTCAATTTTTCTTCTAAGCATATAGTCCTGAAAAAGGAAAGAAAGGTAAAGATAGATAGGGTGACTGGGTAGCTCAGTTGGTTAAGTGTCCAACTTCGGCTCAGGTCATGATCTCCTGGTTCGTGAGTTTGAGCCGCACATGGGACTCTCTACTGTCAGCACAGAGCCTGCTTTGATCCTCTGTCCCCCTTTCTCTCTGCCCCTCCCCTGCTTGCTCACTCACCCAAGCTCTCTCTCTCTCTCAAAAACTGAATAATCTTAAAAAGAGAGAGAGAGAAAGGAAAAGAGAGAAAATGGATTTGAGGATGAAGGAGGTACAAGTTAAAATTTCACATTATTATATATACTTTTAGACAAGTTAATTAGCTCTTGAAGCTTCCAGATGTGTAAAATGGAGATGGTATCCAAATTCCAGGGCTATTTTGAGAATTACAGACATTTTATGTATAAAGGACATAAATAATACCTTAAACATAGTGACACTAGGTAGTAATTACTATTCTTCTCATTCATACATCTTATCTGTGCCACATCCTTCCCTAAATACATGTAAAATTAGTCTATATTCCTCCCATCTGAGATAGTACTCATTTTAACACATAAGCAAGTTTACAAACATAGCAATGTAAAAAATAATCATCTTGGATTTGATGAAATATGGTGTAGCTTTAGTGAACAAAAAGCTACTTTTCACATGTACATTTTTCTTTAGTATAATGAAGTACAAATTGCATTAGGAACGATTGTTAAAAATAAAGGGACTGTTCCCATGGAAATGGGATTCCCTAATCATTAGAAAATATACAAATCAAAACCACAATGAGATACCAACTCAGACCCCTTAGGGTAGCTATCAAAAAAACACCTAAAAATTAACAAGTGTTGGTGAGAATGTGGAGAAATGGGAACCTTTGTGTACTGCTGATAGAATGAAAAATGGAAGAGCCACTATGGAAACCAATATGCCAGTTCCTCAACGAATTAAAAATAGAATTACCATATGATCCAGCAATTTCGCTTCTATGTATATATCCAAAAGAACTGAAAGCAGTGACTTGAATAGATATTCATAACACCATTATTCACAATAGCCAAAAGATGGAAGTAACCCAAATGACCCATAATGGATGAACAGATAAACAAAATTTAGTGTATACATACTATTTAATCTGGGAAAAGAAAGAAATTCTGATGTGCTATAAAATGGATAAACCTTGAGGACATTATGCTAAGTAAAATAAACCAGTCTCCCAAAGAAGAGCATTATATAATTGCATTTATGAGGTACCTAGAGTAGTAGAATTCATAGAAACAGAGGGGGAATGGAGAGTTGCTATTTAATTACTATACAGTTTCAGATTTGCAAGATGAGTTCCAAAGATTGGTTATAAAACAATGTTCCTAATGCTACTGAACTGCACATTTTATGATGGTTAAAATGGTAAATTTTATGTTATGTATATTATACCTCTATGAGACAAAAATTAAAGGGTTGTAATGATGAGAACAGGTGTACTTCAATAACATAATTCACTGAAAATAATTTTTTTTAATTTTATTTGAGAGAGAGAGAGAGTATGAGAGGGTAGAGGGGCAGAGGGAGAAAGAGAGAATCTCAAGCACGTTCCACACTCAGCACAGAGTCCAACGTGGGACTTGATCCTGCAACCCTGGAATTAAGACCTGAAATCAAGAGTCAGACGCTCACCTCACTGAGCCTCATCACTAAAATAAAAACTATGTAAATTCACTTAAGGAGGACTATTTATTTATTTATTTATTTTGGCAATTACTTTTTTAAAAAATTTATTTATTTTTAATTTTATTTTTTACAAATAATTTATTGTCAACTTGGTTTCCATATAACACCCAGTGCTCATCCCCACAAGTGCCCTCCTCCATACCCATCTCCCCCTCCCCCTCCAGAGCCACCAGTCCTCAGTTTGTTCTCATCATTCAAGAGTCTCTCATGGTTTGCCTCTCTCCCTCTCCCCCACCATTTCTGCCCTTCTTCTCCCCCATGGTGCTCCGTTAAGTTCCAAGGAGGACTATTTATTTTTAAGTTTCTTTGTTTGTTCATTTCTTTAGGTATGTATATCTGTATGTATGTAATCTCTACACCCAGCATGGGACTTGAATTCACAACCTCAAGATCAAGAGTCCTTTGCTCTTTCAACTGGCCACCTAGGCACCTCAGGACTATTTTTTTTTTTTTTAAGTAATACAGTAACCTTTTAAAAGTTATGAATATGATAACAAAAAGCCATGAAATAAAAACCAAGTTAAGTCTTACACTACATTAATAAGCATTTTAAAGTTTTTTTTTTTATTTTTTGTTTTTTATTTTGAGAGAGAGAGAGAACACTTGTGTGAGCCCACACCAGTGGGGGAAGGGCAGAGAGAAAGGGAGGGGGAGAGAAAGAGAGAATCCCAAGCAGGCTCTATGCTGCCGGCACTGAGCCTGATGTGGGGCTCAAACTCATGAACTATGAGATTATGACTTGAGTTGAAACCAAGAGTCAGACACTTAACTGAGCCACCCAGGCATCCCTAAACTACCTTAATAAACATTTTGACTGAACTATTTAAAACCTCAATTGAAATTTAAATACTATAAATAAAATACTATGCTCTGAGCAATAAACTTATTATTTAACTTCATATTTGTTTGTTTACCTGGGAGAGAGAATAGTACCAAGACAGAGGAAGATCAAACACTCTTAGTACTGCAGTCTTCAAGGAAAACTGTGATTCGTTTACTGTTTCTTCTGACATGACTCCTCTTATAACCTTCATTAAATGAAACATAAAAACATATTAGCCACTAAATGAAAGATACAAATTAAAAATTTAACTCTATCAATGTTTTCTTATTGCAATTATTCATGATATACTTCCTTGAAGAAAATTATGAGCCAAATTTACTTGAACTAAAAGTTTATTAATCATCAAAACACCCAAAAAGAAAATGAGTTAGATTTGAACTATGAGTTCAAGTAGCACATTTTTGTTAGAAAATTACAGGTTCTAGATTCTCTCTTTTCTGGTTAAATAAACATTTTGGCTTTCATTTTTATTTTATTTAAGATTATTATTTTGAGAGAGAGGGGAGGGGGATGGGAGAGAGAGAGTGAGAATTCTAAGCAGGCTACACACTGTCAGCGTAGAGACCAATCTGGGGCTAGAGCTTAGGAACCATGAGATCATGACCCTTGAGCCAAATCAAGAGTCAGATGCTAAACCGAGACACCCAGATGCCCCAACATTTCAACTTTTAAATAAAATTTAAAGCCTATTTCTTCCTACTTATTTCTGTCAAATAACAGGATGTCTAGGTACTGAAAGAAATCTGATTAGAACCAGGACTCCTGGGGCTAAAAAGTAACCTCAGTTCACTACCTTCAGAATACATGCACTTAGGGGCGCCTGGGTGGCTTAGTCGGTTAAGCATCCGACTTTCGCTTAGGTCATGATCTCGCGGTTTGTGGGTTCGAGCCCCACGTCGGGCTCTGTGCTGACTGCCAGCTCAGAGCCTGGAGCCTGTTTCAGTCTGTGACTCCCTCTCTCTCTGACCCTCCCATGCTCACGCTGTCTCGCTCGCTCTCCTAGAAATAAATAAAAAAAAAACATTAAAAAAAAATAAAAACAAAAAAGAATACATGCACTTATTCTACTCTTCTGTTTTAAAGATCTTCAAAGAAATGCTACATATATGCTATGAAATTTTAATAGTGTTTTAATGTCCATTTCTATTGAAACCAAAGAAAGAGAAGTCAGATAAGAGAAGTCAGATGTCTACAGAGAAAGAAGCTATCTCTCAGTTCTTTCACAGAACATTCACAGAAACATGATGGTTCAGGGTTTGGGTATATGTTTGTCAAAGCCAGAAACTCAATTTTATCTGCATACCCTGCTGGACACACTATAAACAAATTCACATACTACTGATGTATAAATTAGCTTACATATTTATTCATTTATAAGGAACTACACTAGCAAAAAAATACGTACATATGTCATCAAAACATACCCTCTCTGAGATAAAACGCTGTAGGAACTAGGGGTGCCCGGGTGCCTCAGTCCGTTAAGTGTCCAACTCTTGATTTCAGCTCAGGTCCATGAGCTCACAGTTGGTAAGCACAAGCCCCACACAGAGCTCTGCTCTGTGCTGACTCGAGGAAGCTGCTTTGTATTTTCTCTCTCCCTCTCTCACGGCCCCTCCCCTGATCCTGCTCTCTGTCTCTTTGAAAATAAATTTTAAAAGCATTAAAAAAATTGTAGGAGCTAAATTCATAAGTTGAAAAGGCTGCTTGGTGAACAGAAAATTAAAGGAACCTAAGGAATATTTTATCTAGGCCAACTAAAACCCTGAGATCAGTCTCTGGTACACAAGAGGGTAGGCTTTTCCAGTAGTCAGAATGTTTACGTCTACCAAATTTAAGATTTCTTTTTCTTGAACAGGGCTATATAAACATTACTAAAGAGAAAATAAAAATCATTAGCAATCTCTCTACAAAAGCTTATTGGCTAGGGGCTCCTGGGTGGCTCAGTCTGACTCATTTGCAACTCAGGTCATGACCTCATGGTTGTGATATCGAGCCCCGCATGGGACTCCTCACTGGGCATGGAGCCTGCTTAAGATTCTTTCTCTCCTTCTCCCTCTGCCACTCCCCTGCTTTCCAACATGCTCCCCGCTCACAAAAGAAAAAAAAAGGGAAAAAGCTGATTGGCTATACTTTCAGTCCCTTATTTCTGCATATATTTCTGTTTTTGTAGATTCCAGTAGACTACCTTTTCCTGTTAATATCTTTTTTTTCCAGATAAGCATCAAAACCACTGATTAAGTAGTATTCTTTCAAGTCAAACGCAGTAATACTAACAATAGGTTACTTCTGACACTGACCTTATTCCCTACTAGTGACACTCAGAGAGTGTAAAATTAATCCCCCCTTCACACATATTCTAATGACAATGTTTAGACCCAGTAGAATTCTATTTTTTTTTTTTTTCCTTTTTAATGTTTTGAATCCACGGCAGGCTCCAGGCTCTGAGCTGTCAGCAGAAAGCCCAACAGTCAGGCCTAAACTCAGGGACTGTGAGATCATGACCTGAGCCAAAGTTGTACATTTAACCCACTGAGCCACCCAGGCGCCCCTAGATTCAGTATAATTCGGACTGAAGTACACTTATTCCAAGCAACAAACTATGACATAAACATATTTCTGAAAAATACAAAGGAAATTGAACATGAGAGAAATGGCCCTCTGGAGCATGAGACTAGGAGTATAAGGTTGTGCAGGAAATCATTCTTTTCACTTTAAGTCTTCTCTAATATTTGATTTTTTTAAGCAACTGCATGTATTACTTTCCAAAAATATTACACTAAAGTGGCGCCTGGGTAGCACAGTGGGTTAATCCACTGACTCTTGATTTCTGCTCAGGTCATTATCCCAAGGTTCATGAGTTCAAGTCCTAAATTGGGCTCTGCACTTGACAGTACAGAGAGTGATTCAAAACTTAATCATTAATAGCTGAGGGGTGCCTGGGTGGCTCAGTCGGTTAAGCCTCCGGCTTCGGCTCAGGTCATGCGTGGGTTCGAGCCCCGCGTCGGGCTCAGTGCTGACAGCTCAGAGCCTGGAGCCTGTTTCAGATTCTGTGTCTCCCTCTCTCTCTGCCCCTCCCCTGCTCACGCTGTCTCTCAGAAACAAATAAAACATTTAAAAATTTTTTTAAAAATAATAACTGAATAACTTTAAAAAAAATAATCACTTCATTTGCTTCCATAAATACTAATTAAAATAAACACGAAGGCAGTTTATTATACACATTCGTAGAAAGCTCTAAAGCATTACCAAAAACACTGTATTATGTAATATTACTGCTTCTCTCCATCTAACCTTTGGAGAGCTAAAAATGTGTGATAATTTGTTTCTGAAACACCTTAAAATTCTATTCTACAACTTGGACTTTATAATTTAAGCAACAATTAAAGTCTAAACTACTCCCCACTCCCAAAACTGACGTCAAGCATAAACTCATACACCCGAACTGAGTAAAAACACAGCAAAAGTACTTAGTCGCAGTAACGATAAAAGAACAATAATAAAGGTCTGTGTAAGAGTAAGACCTTCTGAAGTCCTCCTTCCACAATATAAATGAGGAGCAACTTTGTTTACAAAAGGGCCCTGAGGCCACAATCCTCCCGACGCTTTATTATTCACTGAAAGCACCTGCAGAGACAGAGTATCTTCCCCCATTTAAAAACCACTCCCTGCTCAAACCACAGGCATTCGCGCAAAAACACGGACCACGCTAGCGACCCTACCTCCAACAGGACCTTCACCCGCGACCCCCACAGCACTATCCTCGGCAGTCTTCCTTTTTTTTTTTTTTTTTTTTTTTTAAACCAAGGGACCGGGGACTCCGGCTGGGCTCGCCCGCCCAGGCCCTCAAATGCGTTGTGAGCAGTCGGTAGTCCACCCTGATTCAGCGCTCCGCTTGCGGGCCTCCCTCCGGCGTGCGGAATTCTCTGGCTTTGGGTTCCTTCACCCGCACTGGCATTCCCGAGGGCCAAAGCCGGGGCTCCCGCCCGCGCCCCACTGCGCCCAGCCCCGCTGCCTCGGCCCGGGCGGGCTGCGCGACCCCACCCGCCCTTACGCCCGCCCCCCAGTACCTGGAGCTACAGGCCAGGTGCTGGCGGCCCACGCCTGCTTCCCAGCCGCAGCCCAGCGCTGAGGAGCCGCCTGGCCGCGGGGGCGGAGTCCTTCCGGGGTCAGGAGTGGAAAGGTGGAGAGAAAGTGGCGGGGGCCTTGCAGCCTTTCAGCGTGAGGGGCTACGCGTGAAGCCGCTCGCGCCATTTTTGTGTAGGGTAGAGGCTCCTGCTTAGCCAAAGGGTATAGAAGAACTGCATCGTTACAATGTTGTCAACTGGTATCGTAGTCTATTCAGAGAATCTGGTGAACCCTATGGGGACTTTACCCCAGAAAAATGCACATAGACACTCAGAGACGCTCTAACATTATTAAAAGAAAAAAAATGTGTACAGAATATACAAATTCAGACACCAGAAACCAATCCATGGATCCCAAATTAAGAACTTCTACCATAGATCCGCAGTACCTAAACTAATGGTTAAGAGGCATTCCAATCTTGTATCGATGAAGTTACTGATTTCAATTACTCTTTAGTATTTCTCCGTTTCCCACTGAATTAGAATACGTAAATATGGCCACCTATGAGTTGTTAGGCAGGATGTTCACTGCTCTTAGGTTCTAACACACAGAAAACAAAGGGGGCTGGCGTGGAGAATGAATAAAAAAAAGATGCTGTTTCTATTTGCAATCTTGAGTCCAAACTTTCCATTAGAACTGCAGATTGAAAAATTTTAATTACCGATCATATCTGTGGTGAAATGCCCAAATAAATTTATAAGGAAAGCTGAAACATGACAGCAGATGTTACTAATCCTACCCAAGGAACAGGAATGAATAATCATTTCTATTAGTTTTCAAAATTCCTATTTAGTCAAATGGAAACTAGGAAATGACAATACTGATGTGTAACCTCACTAGATGAAAAATAACCGAGTTACTATTATAATAATAACAGAGTTCTTTGTGAAAATATTTTGCGCTTATAAAGTAAATGGTGCTATTGACATTTGAAGAACCTGGAATGTGTAAGGTTGTTTATTCTCCCAATCTCCTTTCTGCTGCTTCCTTCCTGCATCCCACAACTTCCAAACATTCAGCATAATGAGAAGAGCAGTAGTAATGATAACTACCACTTAAAGCAACTTTACTGAGGACATTATCTCTTTGAATTCCACAATGCACTTTATGAAAGAGATATTTGTACAAACTGCTTACGGATTTTAGTCTTTAATGAGGGAATAAGAAATACATATTTTCCTTATTTTCCTCAGTCAATGTAAATTGCTCCAAGCCCCCCTTCTCTTGGGATGGCAGAGTATTTGCTAAAATTAATGAAGGGAAACCTCACTAAAGTGGACTTGAGGTGCTACAAGGAGAGACTGCAAGGGGAAACTGTACCACTCACTGTCAATTAGAGAAAGAATCATCAATCACAGGCCCCAACAAGGAAAGATATACACTGTGTCTCCTACAAGAAAGCGACTACTCCTATAACTCAGCCAGAGATAACATCATCACCCTGTATCCTTGATTTTCTCCAAGGAACTTTTGTTCAAAACAATCCCTCCCAACTTCCTCCTTCTCCCTAAAATAATGTTCTGCTCTTGTGTTTGTCAGACTTGCTTATGGTTTGCCATAGCTTGCTCGTCCCAAATTCCAATTCTCTGTTATTCCTAAATAAACCCGTGTTTGCAGATAAAATAGTTGACTTTTATTTTTAAGGTTAACACACAATCTTAGTTGTTAGTAGTTATATCAGTTAGGATGCTGTTAGCTAGAAGCAAAAAAAAAAAAAAAAAAAAATCAAAAAAACAAAACCAAAAAATCCCTGCAACTAGTTTGTTTAATAGTGGCTTAAACCATAGGACAGAGTATTCCACATGGATGAAGCATCAGGGAGGCAGAGCCTCATATTTGCATATGATGCCTCATGCTATCTTGGCCCTGAGGAAAAATGAGGCTTGGTTCATTCTAAAGGTCTGTCCCTCACCCAAAGTGAGAGGAATCATTAATCAACTATTAATGACTGTGGGAGATCCTATATGCATAGTATCAAAACAATACTGTAGTTTCAGACTGCCTGAGTTTGAATCCTTTCTCTGCCACTTACTAGGTATGTAGTCTTGGTCCAAAAACTTAACTTCATTATGCCTCAGATTCCTCATTGGGGTGTTGGAAAGATAAATGTAATAGTATCTGTAAAGCACTAAGATTCTTATGTAAGTTTTTAACTTGGGTTACTTGTAACTCCATAGGCTCTGAGGATAAAACATTATTTCCATATATTGGTTTCCTTTGTTATCCTATTATTTTGTTTTTGCACATAAAAACGTTACTTTGAGAAGCAGGGCCCTGTCAAAGTGGTCAAAGATACCAAAAAGTAGTTAAGAAGTTAGATAATTCTGGCACTAATTTATAAGATGTATTAATCTATTTAGGTGATGTGATTGTTTTTAACTAAAGTGCTAGACTTTGGTCAGGCTTAATATTTTCACTTGATAAGTACTTTTCCCACCAATAATTCATGAAGTTCATTCATTATACTAATTTATAACATGTAATAGATTTATAAGATTCCATGGGACTTTTCTACATTCTTTGGCAGAAGCTCCAAAGCTAAGAGAAACAGGTGCCAAGTGCCCTAAGTATTCTTAAAAAGGATGCTAGACCAACCACACAAGGTATGCCAGGAGAATGTGAGGCCCATTTAGCAATCCTCAGTACTCACACACCTCCAGGGAATGATATGGCAGAACTGACCAAAGAAGACCAAAAATGAGAGAGTTTTTGGAGAGAGAGAGAGAGTTTTCTGGAATGCTGTGCAATTTCCTCCCCCTTCCCTTCCCATGTCCTCCCCCAAGTGGGGAGGGCAGGGTGCATATCCCATCTTACCCCCTCTTCCAGCCAAGTGAAGGAACTTGAAGAAATTCAAAGAATTTGATGGGGCACCTGGGTGGCTCAGTCAGTTGGGCATATGACTTCACCTCAGGTCATGATCTCACGGTTCGTGGGTTCAAGCCCCACGTCGGGCTCTGTGCTGGCAGCTAGGTCAGAGCCTGGAGCCTGCTTCAGATCGCGTGTCTCCCTCTCTCTGACCCTGCCCTGCTCACATTGTCTCTCCTCTCTCTCTCAGAAATAAATAAAACATTAAAAAAAAGAAATTCAGAGAATTTGACTTCTATGTCCCGTAGTTTATGTCACTTGAAAATCTAAAGACAATAGGGGCGCCTGGGTGGCTTAGTCGGTTAAGCGTCCGACTTTCGCTTAGGTCATGATCTCGCGGTTCGTGGGTTCGAGCCCCGCGTTGGGCTCTGTGCTGACTTGCCAGCTCAGAGCCTAGAGCCTGTTTCAGTCTGTGACTCCCTCTCTCTCTGGCCCTCCCCTGCTCACGCTGTCTCTCTCTCTCTCCTAGAAATAAATAAAACATTAAAAAAAAAAAAGAGAAAAAGAAAATCGAAAGACAATAAACTATCCAAAGAGGCCTCTGATGGCAGAGCAAAGACAGAAGACTGCAGTGACAGTGCTCTGTACTTGCAATTCTGCAAGAAAAATTATCCTGTAGGCCAAATGAATGCCACAGAAGGTAGCCAGGCTTCAATTATCTGAACAGTTGTATCTTTGAACCAGAAACAAAGTGGACTGTCCAAATGGTTAGCCATAGATTTCCCCCCTCTATATTAGGAAATAATACAGTGAGAGGTCCCCAGCGAGTGGGACAGTCATTGTGGAACTCACAAAATGTCTGTATAAGAAAAGAGCCAGAATTTAGGAGTAAGCCATATGCAGAAGGCATCCAAGTCAGATTGAATGCACTGACTGCATATACCTGATATTTCATTTAAGATATTTAGGATCACTGCTCACCCTATCTGACATGTATGGCCAATGAACTTTATGAATTATCGGTGGAAAAAGTACTTATCAAGTGAAAATATTAAGCCTGACCAAAGTCTGGCACTTTAGTCAAAAACAATCACATCACCTAAATAGATTAATTCTTTTAGGTAAGTCATATGTCCAATTTCTTTTTCCATTAACTGCTAAAATCTGGCAGAGTCCCCAGAAATAACTCAGGGCCTCCTTTTAAATCGGTAAAATGTCAAAGGGTATACACTGGCCATTATATCTTTGTTCTCATTACATTTTTGTTCTCATTTGTTTGGCAGACTCCTCTGCAAGTCAGAACTATGCCGATCAAGGCATTAGAACTCAGACTATTGGTTCTAGATGCTAATTTAGAACAATTATTCCATATACATCCAAATATTACAGATTCAGTTCCTCAAAATGTTAAAGATAGTGATACCATATGACCAGCAATTCCATTCCTATATAATACACAAGAGAAAACAGAAGATACATTCACATAAAAACTTGTATATGAGGGGGGCCTGGGTGGCTCAGTCCGTTAAGCATCCAACTTCGGCTCAGGTCATGATTTTACAGTGCGTGAGTTTGAGCCCCACATTGGGCTCTGCACTTTCAGTTCAGAGCCTGCTTCAGATTCTTTCTCTCCCTCTCCCTCTCTCTCTGCTTCTCCCACTTACATGCACTCACTCTCCTGCCTCAAAATAAATAAGTAAACTTAAACCATACATGAATGTGCATAGCAACATTACTCATATCTAAAAAGTGAAAACAACCGAAGTATCTATCAACTGATGAATGAATAAAATGTAAATTTTATAATAATATTATAATAAATAAATAAAATTACATGTGTCCATATAATATGATATTATTTAAGCATTAAAAGAGGAATGATGTACATGCTATGATGTGAAAACATGCTAAGAAGTCAGTCATAAAAGATACACATATTTTATGGTTCTATTTATATGAAATATATAAAATGGGCAACTCTATAGAGACAGAAAGTAGATTAGTGGTTGCCTGGGGCTGAAGAGTTGTGGGGAAATG